AATAATAATAATAATAATAATGATAATAATGATAATAATAATAATAATAATAATAATAATAATAATAATAATAATAGTAATAATAATAATAATAATAATAATAATAATAATAATAATAATAATAATAATAATAATAATAACAATAATAATAACAATGGTAATAGTAATAGTAATATTAATAATGACAACAACAATAATAATGATAGTAGTAAAAGTAATAATAATAGTGTTAATAATAACAATAATAATAATAGTAATACTAACAATGAACAATAATGATTATTATATTGATTATAATAATAACATAAAAAAAATGTGTCAAAATTATGAATAAAAGAAAAAGAAAAAAACAAAAAATTGCATAAATATTAGTGAAAATACATTATTTATATCCATTTGTAAATGTATGAATATAGAATGAATCGTTTCTAAATTGAACAATTTGAACAAATCAAATGTATAGGAAATAGAACAATAGTATGCTAATAGGAACATTCTACCATAGCTTTCATTTATTTGCACAAATTTGCATTTATCCGATCTGATATGATTTAAGAAATGGATATATGCTATGTATGTGTATATGTTATGTATATGCAAAGGAGGAAGAGAAAATTGGAGAGAATTTGTTGGAGGAACTTGAAAAGCTTTCTGCTAGAATTATGTTAGTATCGGATAGCCTTCTTCCAATTGTCCTCAAAGGCGGAAAGAATTGAGATCCAATAAGGGCCAATCAGCGCAAATTTCTACTTAACGATGAAAAGCCTTCCAAATCGTAAATTCCTAACAGTTTCTATTTCAGCCTTTTCATTCACAAAATCTTTTTCAATTCATTTCAACTTTTTTTTTCCAACCAAAACTTCTCACTCTTTCCTTTCGTTCTTTTTTATTTTTTCATTCCTTGAAAATCCCGCTTATCGTATATTATCATCAAATGATATACTAAAATTTCTTCATCTTTCTCTCTTTTTCATTTTCATTTTTCCTTCTTATCATTCTTTTTTCATCTTTTCATTGTTAATTTATTGAATTTTTATGATTAATTGGAGGAAATTTGGATTTTATCTAAAAATATTATTTATAACAAATTAATATTCAAATAATTTTATTTAAATCTTAAATTAAGAAGGAAATTTTTCTGCAATTTAAAATATAAAGCAGTATTACTTATCAAAAAATATCAATTTGTATGGGTATTAAAATTAAATTAAATTATGAATAAAGTTTATGCATTTACCATAATTTTCCCTAACAATATATTACAAATATTTAAATTATGACTTTCGAAAACATGAAGTTTTGCAGGTTACGGTAGTTTAGAAGTTCGCAGTCAAAGTGGAATAAATTAATTAACATTTAATTATCAAATTTATCATTGCTTTGCGCAAATTTTCGCTGCATAAATTTGAAAATTTCTAATTTAGCAATTTAAGTTTGCAACAAATTTTTTTTCTTTTTTCTAAAAGAATAATTAAACATTTCACGAACAACGCTCTACAATGCATATTATAAAAAAATGACACAATATTTCTTTTAATTTTAGTTTTACAAAATTTTTTGCAATCTAAAATTATTTAAATTTTTCAAAATTGTGCAAATTTACAAGTATCAGGAGTTTTGCAAAAATAAATTTATATATATTTGTTATTGAAATTTCTAAAACAATAACAAGAATACGAGAATTTCTAGAACAACAACAGAAATACTAAAATTTCTAGAACAGTAATAGGAATACAGAAATTATTTCTAGAACAATAATGGAAATATTGAAATTTCTACAACAATAATTGGGATACTAAAATTTCTGGAACAATAATAGGGATATTGAAATTTCTAGAACAATAATAGGAATGCTGAAATTTCCAGAATGGTAATAAAAAAACGAAAAGCTCTGGAGATGATAAAATGGGTGCGATGAAGTATAGAATGATAATAAGAATACTAAAAAAGAAAATATTTTTTTTTTACTTTGCAAAAAATATTTGTGCAAATTATTCGACAAATATTATTGACTGACTTTTTTTTTTTTGGAAGATACTTTTAACAAATATAAATATCTACAATGTATTCATATCATTATCTATTCAGAATGAAAATTTAATTAAGGATTGGTTTTCTTTTCAATGGCTAAATCTAATTGATCATCCTAATAATTTTCTTTTATCTAAACGACCCCGCATTCTTTTCCTATTTTAAATTGAAGCATAAGGATCTCCCGGGGTACTCTAGGATAATTATTCTCATCTATCTACTTTCAGTCTAAACCAATCTTCTCAGTACCATTTGAGTTATTTCAATTTCAACATGCATCATTTCATTTACTCATTGATGAATAAACACTTTTGTTTATAAATGCTACTTAAGTACCACTTCCCGTTTTTTCTTTCTGGAATGCTTATTATGCTACATTTAGTTTGCAAAAAAGAAAGCTAACTGATAGAAATGAACATCC